AAAAAATCATTAAGTACACCCAATTTCTCAATACACTTGTTTTCCCAAATTACCCTTCAAGGTATGCCCAAATAATAAACAAATCAAAAATACCAAGTTACACCACTTTGAAAAACCTTTTCAAAAGCTCTGAAACAAATTTCTCATTATAGATATTCCTTTTGTTCAACAAATATACAACAGCGTTAAGGAACTAATTGAGATTTTCAAAAACCACAAAACTAGATTTTTAATCATATGTTTATAATTTTGATAATTTTGTTGTTCAATTGAAACTCTGTTTTGTTGTTCAATTGAAAATTTGTTTTTGGACTATGGGATCATTTGGTTCTTGATATGCTTGATCCCCTAAAGTGAAAACATTTCAAATCTTCTAATAGGTGTTTATTTGTAGGTTTGAAAGTTTAAGAAATTTTGTGCTACATATTATCCTTGTAAAACTTGTTCTCGATTGACATAATTAAAAAAAAAAATTGTATTTATCTATTATTAAAAAAATTATATTTATCTATAATCAAAATCATACAAGTGTAATCAAAATTATATATTTATGCATTATTGGTAAAGCCAAGAAACTAGAGGGTTGTAGAAGAAGACAGTGATAGGCGGCAAATCAAAGGGGATCTTGAAATCGTAGCCATGGCTTGTTGGGTTAGAAATCATTCTAAAGGATCTCGTAGAAGCATGGTAGCATGTACAAGCATTCTAAAAGATCTCGTAGAAACATTCTAAACCATTGGTAGGGTGGATTGGAGTCTTTGAGTGAAGAAGAAGATGAAGAAAAAATAACTGAAACTTGGAGAAGAAGATGAAAAAAGTTGAATGTGTATAAGTGGTTTTGGTGTACCATGAGGAAAAAAAACTATTTTATTTTAAGTTTTAATGTGTATTGTCCTTAGGGAAAATCGGTTTAAGGTCCCTATCCAACTTTTAGTAATGGATTAGGTCCACAATGTGTTCTTTTGTAGCCTAAGGTCCCTCAATGTTATTTTAGAGTGTAAAATACCTGTCTTACCCTTGTTTATAATATACGTTGTTTTCAATTTGGCAGCTAAAGATCATATTGATATTTTGTGGGAGATTACGTGAGGATGAATTTGACGATTCAGATTTTTGTGGAGATTTTCTAGGGTTTTGTAGGTGTTGAAATCCTGTTCGTTGTTTGTAGGTGTTGAAATCCTGTACGAGTTGAAATCATGTTCGTTGTTTGTAGGTGTTGATTGATCGTGTAGGAGTTGAAATCTGGTTCATTGTGTTTGATTTGATTTCATGTGGAGTTGAAATAGATAAGTTTTCAATTTTTGATTTGATTTGATCGTGTAGGTGTTGAATTAGGTTTTTGTTTTTAGTTTTGATCAATGTGAGAGAGACGAACTCAGTGTTGTTCTTTTTGATTTTTGAAGTTAATTTTTCATTATCTATTATTGATGAATTTTCGATGGAGTTGATTTTGATTTTTGGAGTTGCTTTTTCATTCTCTGTCAACATGGTTATGAGTTCCTTTTTGGTGCTCTGTTTTTCTGCGTTTTGTGCTCTGTTTTTTGTTCACTTTGCATTTTTTGTGTGTAGTGCAGATAAAATTGCAGGTTTGTTACTATAATTGAACTCAAATCACAGAGAAAATTGTATACGTTTTTGTGCTCTGTTTTTTGTTCACTTTGCATTTTTTGTGTAGTGCAGAGAAAATTGCAGGTTTGTTACTATAATTGAACTCAAATCACAGAGAAAATTGTAAACTTGTAGTGCAGTGAAAACCACAGAGAAAATTGTAAGTAGGCAGAGAAATTTACAGATGTAGCAATAGAGTAGTAAGTGTTTTGTTTTTTTTTTTTTTAATTTTTTGAATTGAATGTTTTGTGAACATAACAGATCTTCTCTGTGATTTTTTTATGTGCTTGTGTTTGATATATTTTTGTCTCTTGATGTTAATGTGTTGTTTTTGTTATATTGAAAGTGAATATGAGTTCACAAATTTCTCTAGACTTTTCTTTGTAGTCCAGAGAAAATCATATGATTGTATTACAAATGATAAGTATTACAAATTTCTCTGGACTTATATGTTGTGTTTTTATATGTTTGCACTTTTCAAAGTTTTCTGATATGTTTTCTTTGCACTTTTCATTTTTTTTTTTTTTGCACTATTCATGGTTCTGGACTTTTCTTTGTAGTATAGAGAAAATCATAGGTTTGTTATTATAATCCAATGAAAATGACAGAGAAAATGTTAAGCTTGTAGTTGAGTGAAAATCACCCTTGAAGTTGGTGTCTTGATCTTGATGCTTATTGGTTCTTCAAGGTAGCAACAGAGAAAATTACAGAGAAAATTACCTTGACAGAGAAAATTACCTTGTAATCCCAGAGAAAATTACAAGGTAGCATTGAACAAAATAAATATGCCATAGAAAATTAGACACAAGACATAAACATAATGTGGCCAGAGAAAATTATAAATGCTGCCAAAGAAAATTAGACACACAAGTAAGAAAAGTAATTTGGCCAGAGAAAATTATAAATGCCAGAATATATATATATGTTTGCAACCATAGATAAGATAACTAAGAGTGACTGTTTGATTATGGTTGCAAATGGTCTTAATTGATTAATTATGATATATATACTAGTCAAGACAGTAAGCAACAGATTGTATATATATATATACATCTATCAACTCCACTCCACTCTGTTTGTTTACCCAGAAAATCAAATTTGCCAAACTTAGTACTTTTGTTTTGCTGAATTTGTTTTCGTACTCGCCGGAAAATACCCAACACCAGTACCAGCATGACAAAGGAGAATATCCAACAGACGTAGGGTATTTTGGTCCAAGAAATTGATAAAATGAGCTGGTATTTTGGTTAGGGACCTGAGGCAGTATTAGATTTTGTAATGTCCTTTATGCAGAAAATTGTTATTATTAGGGAGCTTAAAAAAAAAACCCCTTGTCCTTATTAGTTATTTATATTAGGGAATAGTAAGAATTAAAATTCCAAAATTTTAGTTGGATGTACTGAGTTATTATTTGAGTGCAAATAGAATCACCCACTTGCGCATGTGTTTATGATTGGGTTTAGATCAGGTTGTGGCCAAATACCCATATCCGTTTTACAACTCATATGTTTGATTTATTCAAATAGCATTATATATTTGTTTTTTATTAATGCACATGGAAGTTTTAGACTTTGTCACTCTAATCCTAACAGTTAGAGTTGATGATATGTTGATGGCAATTGATGCCATGTTGATGATAGCCTTCATAGCTAGACTCCCCTACAAATATAAATAGAGGCATTTCCCCTCCAACTTTGAGATGAGTTTTTAGAGATGAGAAAATGGAGATGGTTTTTTGAGATGTGAAAAGATAGAAATGATTTTTGCACCAAAAATTTCTAGAATTTTTCATCTTCTTTTTTGCTAGTCATTTTCCTTTGGTTCTTGTTTGAGTGAGTACTTTTAATGTTCAAGTTTGTCAGAGCAGCTCCAATGAGTGCTACTGTAGTAGACGTTCAACCGTTGTAATTTGAGGGACAAAAATCAGCAGACCTCCAGCACTACTAGTGAGGCAAGAATCTATTTTAAAGACACTATGCAAAACATGGTATAGTTTGCATACCTTATTATGTGTTCTTTAATTTTTTTAGAATTAATTTTCTTTCGGCAAGATCTAATCTTTATTAATTCATGTTACTAATTTGTTCTAATAATTTAGTTTATTCAAATTCCATGTTGTAATCTAGTTCAATTCTGTATTTTCAATTTTGTAGTTTGTTCTTTAATTCTATATGTTATTTTTTTTATTAATAAAAACAAGATTATTTTATCTTCTCTATTTTATTTTATCTAAATTATTTTTCAATTATTATGAAAATTACCAATAATATATATATATATATATGTTATTCATTGAAAAACAATATGATAGATAAGTCCCACTATATAAGTTCAATTAATAATTTTAAAACTAAAAATCCGAGAAAATAAAAGTATTTACTTTTCTGTAATTGGTTCCATTTTTATTTGATATTCTAGTTTTATATTTTGGTTGTTTTTTTTTTTTTTTGGTCGTAAAAGTAAAAATCACTTTTACAATGAGACTCCTTCAGGCCTGGCCCAGAATCCTTGGAACAGCTGAATGAGCCATTCATTGGTCATAACGGTTTCCCAAGGCCACGGAGATCTCTGATCTATAAAAAGTGTGTGCTGTGTAGCAACTTGTTTGATGATATAGAAGCACTTCAATTTTTATAAAATAAATTTGAGGTTAATTACACTTTTCACCTTACTCCTTATAATTTCAAATTAAACAAGTTTTAATTTGATTCTTTCATTTAAATTGAAGATTTAAAATTAACAATTTTAAGATAATCATCAATTTGTTAAAGTATACATATAGACAAAATTAACAAAAATTAAACGGAATAACTAAATTGAAAGTGTAAGAATCAAAGTGAAACTGACCACGTTTGGGAAGCTGGCTATTCTAATTTTTAACTATTTTAGCAAACTAAAATATTTGCATTTGAGAAGATTATTTTTTTGTAGTTAGGTGTAATATTTATGAGAGAAAAAATAAAATGATTATGAATTTAATGTGACATTTTGTCTTATTGACTATTTTAACCTATTTTGTCTTTATGTAAATTTTAGCCCAAGAAATAAAATAAAATAAAAAAAAGAAAAAAGAAAAAAAAACCTTTGCCAAACAATGAACTAAAATAAAATTTAAGTCAACCAACAGGGTGAAAGGTGTAATTTACCCATAGCTTTGATATATAGGCTTCGTTTGGGAAATTGCGATTTTAGTAGGCTATTTTAGTTTTTGACTATTTTAGTAGGTTAAAATTTTTGTGTTTTAGAAGATGATTGAATTTTTTTGTGATTGGATGTGATGTTTGTGAGAGAAAAAGTGAAATGATTATGAGTTTGATGTGATATTTTGTCTTATTAACTATTTTAGCCTATTTTATCTTTTTGTAAATTTTAACCTACACTAAACTAAACTATTTTTTTTCTTGCCAAACACCCCAATAGCAGTGTGTTAATTAGAATATGAAGTGGATTCTGTCTTACATAAGTACTTGCTGACATTGTTTTTGATGATGAGCAACAACACAAGGATATTGTAACTGAAATGCATCAAACTTGTGACTCTTTCTTCTACCTCTTATTACTACTTCTACCAGTTGCACGATTGGCCGCTGCAAAGGTCCTCAAGGAAGGTGATTGGGTAAGGCCAAATGGAGCAACTGTGGTATTTAGATTTCCACTCATCTGCTTCTTCTGCTGCATTCTTCTCCTTGCTATGTAGCCTCTGATCCAAGGAGTCACATCCTCACTGATTTTGATCATTATGAAGAATATGATGCGGTAAATCACGATCATGCTGAAGAGAACACTGAGATCCGCCCATTTTGATCTCTTCACATTAATCTGGAACACATACTCCAATATGTAGTCACCGGGAATTTTTGGAAGATCTGGTGACTGGTTGTCGAAAACTAAGCCACTCAGATCATTTTGGTATTGCCCCTGTGCATTTCATTTATAATTGATTTAATCAGTCACCCATTCCCATTCCCATTCCAATCAGCAGCACATTTCGTTGAGGAAAAACAATTTTTTTTAAAAAGAAGCTAATATTTTTCTTTCACCTGTAGAGCCCAGAAGTGGAAACTGATGTACGACATTGGATAACGCCAGACAGGCTTTGGAATGTCATTTGGAAGTCTGAAGTACCCAGAGACTAGCATGAATATTCCCTGAAATGTAGAGAAAACCATTAAAATACAAAGTCCTAAATGAATTATGAGATACCCCACAATATATATAATCTACATGTTAAATATATCCAGTAATAGGCAACGAATCTGGTCAGACAGCTCGGACTGGAGCTGCCACCAATCCAACTAACAACACCATGTTATTGCATCGGAAGAAGACAAGAAAGTAAAAAACAATAAAGAAACAAATGGCTGTCAATACTATATTGATCTCCAATTAGGAAAACCAAACAAAAAAAAATGTTAATAAAAGAAGGAAAAAAAAAATGTTTAGGCATGAGCTCCAAACTAGCAGTAAAAGAATCCGTCAAATATGTTGAAATGTTACCGATATGAATACTTATAATTTATAATGAACTTTATTGAGCACCCTCTATTAAACAGGACTATACAAACCTGTATTCCAGCGCCTATGATAATGCCCATGAGGAAGTTGGGGACAAAACTGGCGATGGCCATCATCAAGCTCTCAACAACGGTTACACTTGCATAAAGGCACAATACAAAGAATATATAATGTTCAAAGCCTGGGTGGAGATGGACCATGAAATAGCAAACAGTTCCGGAGATAAATGTGATCAACACCAGAAATGGCATTGCAGATATTGTGTTGCTAATGACAAATGCAGTAACACCATAGTGGCCATTCAACCTCTCTCTTTGAAAAACCTGCAAAAGATTGGCACATACTTATCTTACTTTTGGCAAAAACACGTTGAATTGTCAACAAAATTTATTGAATTTTCGACAATTAGTTTGTAGTTATGAAGCTGACCTTCATGTCTTCTATAAAGGAAGGGAAACCACCAATCGACATGAATGTGACAAAACCAAATACAAAAGACGCACATGCACCTCTTGCCTGCTCATAGTAAATGATGAAAACAAAATTACATGTATGGAAGAACTTGAGTCTTATTTTCATGTTTTCTCATTCTAATTGACTAGTTTATTCGAGGTTCGTGTGTTAATTGATACATTGAAACAATGATAGATCAGATACATCCCATGAGTAACTTAACAGTACTGATATGATTTAGTACAAGAGAAGCCATTTAAACAACTTATCGAGGATAATACAAATTAGGAGTGGTTTAGAGAAAAATAATTTATGATGTTTAATGTGTTCCAAACTTTAGAGATCTGTTTTCCAGTTCTCAATCGTAAATGTTACCAATGCCCAGGAATCAGAATTGGGGTGATTACAATCTTCCTTTAGATTAAATTAGATTAGATTAAGAATCTTAATTTAGGCTCATATGAATGCTCAAGGCAGATAAGAATATACCAGAATGGAGGTGTAGCCCGTCCCCACATCCAAGTATATGGTTCCAATGCAGATAGTAACCACAATGTAAATTACAAGCCTTAGCCAGTAATACCCAAAGTCCCTTGACATGTTGATGAATGACCGCTTGGTTAAAGTAAAAGCCTGCATCAAGAAACTAGCTTGGCTCCCTCCTGAATCAAGCACGGTTCCTTTCTGCAACAAATGGTATGTAATCTTAACTGCCACGAAATAATCCCAGATATATACCAATAGAATGGTGAACTAATCAAGAAGCTATGTAGCTACAAAAAATAAAATAAAATAAATAATAATAATGTTTGAGGTCATACAATCTAAGGCACCACTGAATAATACTTACCACTTCAGATATCTGCTCTACTTTCTCCCTTGCTGAGTAACAGTACTGAGAATTATGATAAAAGTCAATAAGAGTTCGGATAGCTTCAGCCGTGGTTATCTTCTCCAGAGGATCGTCATTTGTATCACACTGATAGGGAACCGATTTAAAGCAACAATTAGCCACCACAAAAACTGAATAAAAACAATCAGCAATCAATATTGCACACTGCAAATCTTATAGCTATTATGAAGGATACGGATTCAAGCCTAGACAGTGATTTTCCTTCTTCATATATTTTTCTTAACTTCTTGTTTGACACTTTTATTCACAAAAATAGATTAAACAAAAGTTAAGTGGTCAAACCATGAAAAAAGCTGCGATCACTGTCCCTCTATTTTTGAAGTAGGTCACCAATTAAACACTTGCAATACCACCATCATTAGCTAAGAAGCATGGATATGGACACACGACATGACGGGGACACGCTGACACGGCAATTTTCAAAAAATGAAGAACACGACACATGAGGGACACACACAATACATAATTTCATATATATCTTTTATGTCATACATATGAATATATCATTTCAAGACAATAAATAAATGCAATATAATACTAATTTCTATAAATTGACATTATTTTACTTGTATCATCGTAATTCTAAGTTTTTTTGTTCAAATTTACAACTAGTTTCTTAATATATGCCATGATGTATACTTGGCCAATGTTTTTTATGCAATTAGATTGGTGAGTCATTACCAATCTAACGTATAATCGGCTTATTGGAAGGCAGTTAACAGAATATTGTGTTCTCTCAGAGGGATTTCAAACTACATGCTTTGTTACCAAAGATCAAACTTGGCCCCAGTCGACTATTGTGATGTCGATTTGGGTGTAGATTTAAATGAGTGCAGGTCCACATCAAAATATGATTTCTTACTCAGTGGTGGATCCATTTCTTGGAGCAGTATAAGAAGCATTCTTACATCACCTTATCGACTATTGACGCTGAGTATGTGGTTTGCTCCAATGTCATTCATGAGGCTGTTTGGTTGAGGCGATTCCTTTTCAGCATCTTCGAGTTGTCATATGTGCTTCAGATCACATGGCTATCCACTGTGACAACATTGCCACACTTATACTAAGGATCCTAAGTATCATAGTCAAAACAAACATAATGTTTTGAGGTTCAACTTCACCAAAGATATCACTGCGTGTTTATTCACTTATTAGTTTCCATTGCATTATGGATGTTGATAGTGAGTTAGCACACACAGAATTAATAGACAGGATGTCAACAACTTGATTGGCTTACTCACTCTAGCAATGACTTTTGGCGCTTAAGAGAGCAAGCAAAGATGAGACATTTGGGTTGAACCGTCAACCGGTCTAAGGTCAGTCTGGGTACTGTTCAACTAAACTAGCTAGGCTCCCACTTTGCCACGTGGCAAGCAAATTTGCGAAACTATGTTTGCTTGGGAGTTGAACACATAACTACATGGAAGTAGTACGACAAATAACCATCATGTCACATTCACCTTTTATTTATATTTGGTAAATATATATATCTATATTACATTTTCTTTCAAACACTACATATAATTAATATATTTTACAAATAATAAATATAAATATGTTTATGCAATTATAAATTTATCTTAAATTTAAAAATAATTTAAATAAATGTATCTTAATTCTTATATTATTATTAAATAAACTTTAATATATTTATAAAATAATTATGACGTTACGATTTGATTCCAGTTCAACCCAATGGTTGAACTGGTGACCCCTCCACCCAATCCTTTTCTAGTTCTCTCACCAATAAGGTTTTTAAAATATTAGTGAGTAGTGAAACATCAACTAACAAATTTAGTCGCCAAAAATATTAGTTGTTTTTCTCGACGAATCACTTGGTCACGAATTTGTAAAATTTCAGAAGGGTTTGAATTTTTTTCCCCTACTACAAGTTTTGATCGACACAAAATACAAAGTCATTTTGATATTTGCAACCAAAATTCATTAGTTGCTAAAAGTTTTTTGGCTCTTGCTTTTTTTTTTTTCACCATCTCGCTTCTAGTTTTCGCAACCAATATTTCAAATTAGTTGTAGAACACAACATTTCTACGACTAAATCACATTAGTCATGGAAAATAAAAACTTCTGGCTATTATTTTTATTTTTATTTTTGTCGGCAAGTACGTGTTTTTCACGACTAAATAATACTTAGTTGGCAAGAGTAGTCATTTTGCTATCTGTGACCAAATTTCATTAGTCGCTAAAATTTTTGTCTCCCACTCTTTTTTTTTCCCTCCCACTTCGATTTTTCACGACCAATAATTCAAACTAGTCACCAAAAACATGATTTCTGATACTAAAATCATGTTAGTAGTGGAAAATAAAAAAAATAAAAAATTGGCTACCAATTTTTTTTTAGTCAGCAAATGTGATCTTTTTGCAACTAAAAATTATTTAGTTGGAAAAAGTGTAATTTCTTTTAGTGGTTGAGTGTCATCACATTTAGAGCATATGGAATCTAACATCACTATTTGGAATAGTTTATTCCATCATAGCATGTATATCATAATACATATGCCCAAAAACCGATTAGTGAGCTGAGTGTGTGGATCCTTTCTTCTCTACTGTGAGATTCTTATGGGTCATTATTTGTGTATGACCTTATCTAATGCCCTTTATGATCTTTGACTACACCATAAGGCTATGAAGCATCAACACTTCAAAACAAGCGCTATAGTTGTGTCAAACATGGAGACAAGGCAGGGGCACACAAAGACACGATGGTGACACATATGGGATATGCTACATTGCGTGTGCCTTTATTTAATTTTCTTTTTTTTCAAGAGACATGTAGGGGAAACTTCAGCGACACTCTTGGGATACACCAACTAATTTTTTTTCCATCCTTTCTTTAGTGTTTTTGATGGATGTTGGACTTTATTCATTTTTTCTTAGATATAAGCACTTAATAGATCATCCATAAAATAAAATAAAATAAAAAACATATAAACGACAAGAGATTAATTTAAAAGTGACTTCTTTTTTGTTTTTACACATCTAGCTAACATTAGTTTCTGATAATTTTGATTGTTTGTGAATATAACACTAATCTACATAACAAATAAAAATATAAGAAAAGATGTTTTATTATCGTGTCCTCGTCGTATCTATGTCCCTATTTTTTTGAAATCACTGTGTCATGTGTCTATATCCATGTCCTCATCTGTGCCTGTGTTCATAAGGTAAAGGATTAATGACATGATACTTCGACCTCAAGGGACATTTCTAGGAAAAGATTAGCTGTGAATTGAGTGACATGAGGGCAAAGGGAAGATCATTTGGTATTCTATCATTGTTATGTTCACTATCGACAACTCATATTACGATGTAGATTGGGTGTGGAGTAAAGCATGCTCTGTGAGGGGTTATAGATGCTATGTGCAATGTAACTAGATAGAATTGATGTACATGAGATGCTCTCTTTTTGGGTTGATGTCTCTATGTTGGCTCATAGTAAGTTTATAGTATAGAGCTTGCACTTGCACTTGCTTTCAGCAATCGTCTTAGCCACTGACTAGTATGAGTTAGTTTAGATGTATGAGCAAATTTGAGATAGGGGCAGCATGTTGGCCCATGTGCGAGGGTCAGGTTTGGACCCAAACTTAGGCGCCCACAGGGCATGACTCGTTAACCCATCTAATATGAATGAAATATATCACTTATTTGAATTGCACTTGTTGAGGAGACAAGACAGTTATATTAACCCATGTAAATGGGTGTTAGATATATATGTCATATATATCAAATTAGATATATCTCTAAATCATGATCTTGTACAATGTATTCTAGAAAACTCTCCATATCACTTCGCTCTCTGCCATTGTTGAAGTAAGGACTTTGCACTATGATTTTGTGGTTAACACTCCCAATGTGATGTTGCTCTGACGCTAGAGGTGATGTTGTTCGTGGTCGTTGAGAGTTTATAGAGCATTGCTCTGACGCTAGAGGTGGTGTTGTTCGTGGTCGTTAAGAGTTTACAGAGATGTCGTTAAGAGTTTACAGAGCATGTGATTCACTCCTTGTTTGTCGTTTTTGGATTTTGTGCATGAAGTAAGTCCAAAAATTGTATTACTTCTGCTAGTATATGTTGTTTACACTTACAATTGACCAGAACAACATCAGTAAGTAAAATAGGGTAGGGAACAAATAAAATTGAATTGGAACAGAAGAAAAAAAACAAATAAATAAAATAAAAATAGAGAGAGAGCGAGAGAGGAGAAGAAGACTTTGATACCCGCAGTTTCATGGATCCTTTCAGAGTGGCTTTAACTTTGTCAAAATCAGAATTAATGCATCTAAGAAAGTGATCAGATGGATTCCTCAGAGCAGGACATGGAAAGCCAGCCTGTGCGAAGAACTGCACACACCAACCAGTTTAAGAGTTGTGTTTCTCAAGAACAAATGCAGTTTAAATTTTTGAAAAAAAAAAAAGAAAAAAGAAAAAAAAAAAAAAAAAGTGGGGCTAATTCTTGCCTCATAAGCTTCTGAAGCCTGACCAAAGTAAACAGTTTTGCCTCCGGAAAGCAAGTAAAGGCGATCAAATAGCTCAAAAACTTCACTGCTGGGCTGATGAATTGAAGCTATGACAGTCCTCCCGTCTCTAGAGAGACCACGCAATGTCTGAGTTACAAAGAATGCGGACGCACTGCCATGACAAGACCCACCCAAATAAGAACCTTACAAGAGGATTTTTTTCAGTGGCAAAGAGGCAAACAATATAAGGAAATCATAATCATTCATTACTAACATACAAGTTTGGTATACATACAGAACAGAGTAATTATTTGTTCTGTTAGCATACGGAATTTGTGAAATGGTGATCATTGTTTAAGGATATGCACAATGAGAAAGAAACAGAAGTAACCAGTGATGGCTCCATAACTTTTTGTTGATGGGGTTATGAAAAATCATCAACACTAATTCTCAAATCAGAAATAAACATTTCTTGATATATTGCTATTGTTTTCAATCAAAAAACAAAGAAAACCAAAAAAAAAAAAAAAAAAAAACAACAGACACACAGAGATATATGTTCTTTTACAATTAGTATCGACAAGATTCCACATTTTGGAATCATTGCATAATAACCGAGAATGTTCATATTGTTCATGGCAGGAGCAAGATCTGGATTACAATCCAAATCAGGTATCTTGTTATCTATACAATCAAATATGTTATTGGTTGAACTAATAAAATAAAATAAAATATGGATACTTACAAGAAAATTAGGAATGATTCATTTCCATTAAAACAAGAAGGCCACGAAAATCTAATGGACATGTTCTGTCATCACAAAAATCAATTAAAATATTTTTGTTCGCAAGTAGAAATGCATTAAAAATCCAACAAATACATATGGACGCAAGCTTTTGATATAAAGCAACCCGAGTGATGCAATTGAGATGTCGATTAATGAGAATGAGAGACTCCATTGCCATTTTCTTTTTTAACTGGTGGACACTTTCTTTTTTTCATTTTAAACAATGGTTGCAAAATTTTGACCAATTTATTTTTGACAAATGTTAATATTAAACAAATTACTACTATTATTTTTTAAAGTTGATAAGGTCAATTGACACCACAACAGTAACATTAACAGTTTGTTCAGAGGTGAGGGTCGTCCTCTATTATGTATATGCAGCAGCAAGAGAAGAGAAGATGGCAGAGCAAATAATTAAGTAAATTTAAATAACCTATCGAGTCCGCTTGTTGGCTCATCAAGGAAGAGCAGTCTGGGCCTCATGAGGATTTCAAGGGCAATACTGACCCTCCTCTTTTCTCCTCCACTGATCCCACGCAAATGCCAATTCCCAATAACTGTATCAGCACAATCTTGAAGACCCATTTCTATGATGGTACTCTCAATCAATGTGTTCTTCTCCGACCAAGGCATCCTATCCGGGAGCCGTAGTTGGGCTGAATACGAAATTGTTTCGCGAACCGTTAGAGTACCAATCAAGTTGTCATCTTGTGTCACATACGCCTGAGTTTTTTTTTAAAGAAAAAATCCAAGTAATACTCTATTAGTACATGAATGATTGATGATACATATATGTATAATATAAAACAAACATCAGTTCCTATCCAGATACTAGAAAGATTTAAACAAATCAAAGAGATTATTAGATCAGATCATCACAAATAACAATATGACCAATAAAAGATATTTTTCTTTCTTTTGTTCTCTTTTTGTTTTGGAAAGTTGGTTGAGAGTGGAGGAGTGCTTTGACTTAAAATAGACTAAAAGCAAAGTTAAAAATTAACTTTTAACCCTCAACCCAAAAGAGGTGATAGTCTGTGTATGATATCACAAGTAGATAAAAGTACAAATATCTATATATATAGTGTAGAGATTACAATAGATGTGCATAAAAATGAAAGTAAAATAGCTATAAAATTGATGGAAAATAAATAGTAAATTTAAATGAAGAAGACTAGTAGTAGTAGTGGTAGTAGAGTTGGGTTAAGTACTTACAGCAGTTCCAAAGGAGAGGTTAGCTTTTCTACCGTTGAGAAGAATAGTGCCAGAGAGGAAGGCATTAGAAGCAAGGCGACCAGAGAGAGCATCAAGCATGGTAGATTTACCAGAACCAGAAGGACCCATTAGTGCTGTGAAACTACCAGGCTCAGCATAACCAGTTAGACCTTCCAACACGTTTTGGGTCTCACCATTCCTATTCAGACTCACCATTACTGTCATATCCTTCCATGTAAGCCTCGCCGACACATCCCCCACTAACTCTATATTCGCCTTCTCTTTCCACAATGTCTCGCTCAGTGGACTCAGTCCTCCTACTACTGCTAGTCCATTCCCTTGTGGCTTGTTTGCCTCTATCTCCATCATCACATGGTCTGCCGACGAATTCCTCATCTTCTGACTACTCTCTCTCTCTCTCTCTGAGCAACTTTCAAGATCTAAACAAGAAGCAAAAGAGGATTGATTATATGATGATTATGAGAATGAGATTGAAATGAATCAAAGATGTGAGAAATGGGTTTTGTGTGAGAGGAGAGATTGGAAGCCTGGGAGTTGTGAATTTGACTGGCCAAGAAGTGGAAAGAATATTACGAACCCCATGCAAATGGAACCTCTTCTTCCTTTTGGGGGGTTTGCGTTGCTTTTTGGCGTGATTATTTATTTATTTATTGAGAGTAATGTTAGGTAAAGAGTAATGTTAGCTATAATGAAAAAAATATCATGAAAATGACGATGAAGATTTTTTTATATTAAATTATATATAAGAAAAATATTACATTAATTAAAAAATAAAAAATTTTCACGAAACATTTCATATTTCATAATCCTAAATATTATTCTTTTAACAGAGAGAGAGAGAGTGTCATAAACCCAACATCTCTTTCCTTCCTCTGCCATCTCCTTAACCACTATCTACCACCTCCCCCACCCCGTTCAACCTCGTCATCAATGCTGGAAAAAGATGGATAAAGTAGAAGATGGAGGATATTTTTTTTCTTCTTTTGATTTGCTGCTGTTTTGCTGCTGCTGTTGTTGTTATTGATGTTGTTAAAGCTCATTAATGGGTTCTGGTGGATGTTGGGTGGGGACATTTAATACAAACCTATCATTTTAAACATCGAGCTGCTCTCATACAATAAGTGTACCAGTTAGAAGTGTTTATGTGTGGTTTGAAATAATCAAAAATAAGTTTATTTTTTAATTTTTTATAAAATATGGATTAAGTTTGAAGTAATGTGTTAGAAAAATAATGTGATTTAAAAAGATGATGTGATTTAAATAGAATAATAATTTTTTAACTTTTTTACATCATATCAAACAAAGTTTAAATTAACACTATCCTATTTATTTATTTATTTTTTAATTAAAAATAGTATAATATGTACACATAAACAAGGAACGCTGCACAAATTACACCGTCTGGCACGGTAGATCATATTTAAAAGGGATTTTTTTTAAGGTCCCTGCTATTATGATTTTATAGCATAAAGGACACAAAATATTTTTATAATATCTAAGGTCTCTCAACAATATTTTCATAATGTCTAAGATCCCTCAACCTTGATCCAGAGAAATTTCAGTCCAGAGAAATTTGGTCCAGAGAAATTTCAGTCCAGAGAAAATTGGTCAGAGAAATTCTGGCCCAGAGAAATTTCTCTGGTCCAAATTTCTCTGGATGAGTTTCTCTACTTTTCTTCTTATTCACATCCAAATCATTGTGATTCATTTGGTAAGCAACATTGTTCAACTGAATTCAACTGTAAAAATTCCACATTGTAATATGTAAGCAACATTAGAATGGGATAACAATGACAACTTATCAGAACCAGAGAAATTCTGAAAAAATCTGAGTATTTCTCTGGTTTGTTATTGAAATATCAATTGAAAATTTCTTTGGTTTATTAAAAATAACAATTGAGAATTTCTCTGGTTTATTAAAAATAACAATTGAGAATTTCACTGGTTTGTAATATCTGGAAAAATTTCTGCAACTTACCCAAATCTATTCTTCGCTTTTTTCCAGTTGAAATTTTCAATTGAAAGTGTTTCTCTGTTGAACAATGTTCAACTGAATTCAACTGAAAAAATTCCACATTGTAATATGTAAGCAACATTAGAAGAAATAACAATGGCAACTTTACCAGAACTAGAGAAATTCTGGAAAAATCTGAGAATTTCTCTGGGTGCAAACCAGAGAAAATTGAAATTCTCTCCAGAGAAATTCTCTGGGTGCAAACCAGAGAAAATTGAAATTTCTCTGAGTACTAAAGAAATCCAGAGAAAATTGTGGAGATGAGGGGGGTGTTAGTGGATGGGAGATGATGATGTGAAAAAGAAAAAAAATAACTACTCTATTCTTGTTAGACTGATGCTAAGTCTGGGATTTGATATATACAATAATATAATTCAATAGAGTTTACAAAACTACCATGTCAATGTAAGCAACCTCATCCAATATAATATTTTCTTTCCTATACATACCTTATCTATCATTTATCAGTAATCTCACAGGGTCCAAAGCTCCATTTCAGTTACTGGACAAAAATCAGTAATAAACCTGCAATTGCAAAATTGAAATATCAACTCCATGAAGGAAATTAAAACCGAAGAAAGAATAAATAAATCTTGCACCTCCACACGTACTTGTAATAGACAAAACCGGGTTGACTTTCAAGCACTGCCAGACAAAAAGTGTACAAAGAACAGGGCACATAATTCTCCTACAATCCTTATTGCAACAGCGTGAAATCTAGGAGTAGAGAGGATTTGATTGGATGAGTTTTACATGTTTACTACCATCTTAGACTTTAATTAGGGCTTCTCACCAACGCTCAATTATGAAAATTGGAAAAAACTACTATAACACTAAGGAAAAAATATTGAGATAGTATACACATTTGCAAGCCACTCCCCACATAGAACTTTGCATAACAGAATAAAATTGCAAATGTTGCCAGAAAATGTGCTTAGTCCCCGTCAAGCTTACCATTATAGGACACAATGCCAATAATGTAAAAAGCCTACCTCAGCATCTCCCTTAACTAATAATTTGTAAAAAGCATTAGGACCAGAAGAAGATTTCCAATGCATAAATGGGCAAAGGATAGAAAATTCAGCTACTGTTCATGCAACTTACGTGGTGTCATAGAACATCCTTACCCACACACACCAATAATAATAATGGTAATATTGTCTCATTCCCATAGTTGTGACAAAACAACAAATGACAATGACATTCCAATGTTCTTCATATATATAAAATACAGTAGATAACCATTGGGGTTAGACTTCCCCCTCCCCTCCAATGTACCCAAAATCAGATAAATTCTCTCCAAACCAAACAGATCAGAGAAATTCTCTGGATTGAAACCAGAGAAATTCTCTCTATTTGCAGCTGAGTTATATTTTTATGAACAAACCTTGGTGATTGTACATTGATCCAGGGAATTTCTCTGACTTCACAAATTTCTTTGGCTCTATTCACAAAGAATTTCTCTGACTTTGTATAATATATAAGCCAACAATACAATCTTTACTAACAAACCCACAAATTTCTCTGGTCCAAAACCAGAGAAATTCTCTCCAAACCACATAGATCATAGAAATTCTCTAGATTGAAACCAGAGAAATTCTCTCTATTTGCAACAGAGTTGTATTTTTATAAACAGACCTTGGTGATTGTACATTGATCCAAGAAACTTCTTTGACTTCACAAATTTCTCTGGCTCAATTCACAAAGAACTTTTTGACTTTGTGTAATATGTAAGCCAACAACACAATCTTTACTAACAAATTCACAAATTTCTTTACTTACCATGAACATCAATCCAAGCAATATACATATATCTAGAGAATTCTTTAGAAGAGAAATTCTGGGAAGGCCAGATAAATTCTTTGGATTCCAGTCTAGAGATTTTTTCTGAATTTTCTCTAGATTTCAAGTGAACCATAAAGCATAAAGTTTGTTTGGTTGCCAAGAAAAGTAGACAAAAAATAACATATTCAATAAAAAACACATAAAAATGCATAGAAATTTGTAATAATTATAATTTTTTCTAAATTATAATAACAAACTCTGTTTTTCAACACACACACACACACACACATATATATATATGGATCTATAAATTTCACTGAAGACCAAGTCCATAACTATTTAAGAAAGATGATGTAATTGTAACAGCACAGAAACATTAGTAATTGAATAATCATATGTCTACATTAACCTCGAGTTCATACATTTCTTTTTCGAGTTGTTTTCGTATGAACTCCTTGGTATGTACAGTCACTTTATCTATTTTGTTGCAGAGGATAAGTACTGGAATTTTTTTCCTGACAACACTTGCCTTCGTCAAAATATCATAAAGGTACATATTCCACATAAGCATCAAATATTAAGACTCATCATACAATGTGTTCATATGCATGTTTGGATACATATCACATATTGCATGATACACATACTCCGACGCTGCTCAACAGTTTGGCAGGAATTCCAAAGCAACCACCATGAAAACTATGCCCGTTGCTTGAGGCAAGAACTCATCTAGTTTGGGTCGAAGATGAGAATGCCCAGGAACATCAGAAAATAGATGGGTGTGGGTTGAGGGACCTTAGACATCAAAAAATAATATTGTGGATCTCTTCCATTACTAAAAATGGGAAAGGGACCTTAGACTAATTTTCCCTATTTAAAACAACATTTAACTTTTTTGAATTTAAAAAATAATAATAATAATAATATTATAAATAATGTTTATAAATTTAATATAATTATCTTAAATTTTTATTTCAAAAAAAAAAATTGATTAAAAGGGAATTAGCATAAAATTAATTAGAAGAGTACAAAAAGCTAGAATGTTGGGTCCCTTTCAGTTGTTCTAAATTTGTTAACCCCATAACAAAGGCTAAGCCTTGGGCAAATTATTTGGGCTAAATAATTATAAAAAAATAAAAAAAATTACAAAATTACAAAAAGATAAAAAAAGTTATAAAATTACCAAACTAACTCATATATACAAATAAAAAGTCAAAAAAACACCATTTTCAAGTAGAGGGTAATTTTGTCATTCCAATGCAAAAAACCAAATAAATAAAAAATTCTCAGTTTAAAAAAGTCAAAAAAATTAAAAATTAACTAAAAAAGTCATTACCAAACGGCCCCTAACTATAACCCATCCCTCATGGCCCAAAACTCTGCAGCCAAGCTGGAAGAGTTCCAATTTTTTGGTTGAAACAGTAACATTTAACTTATTTTTCATTATTAATTTGTTAGTTAGACACAAAAAATAAAAAATAAAAAAATAATAATTATTGTCATCTCTTTATACAATAATATATCTTTTATGTTATTTATCTTTGTATTTTCACTTCATTTATATTATTTTGATTCCTTTAGCCTTACTTAAGGGAGGTTGGTGTACATATGCTAAAATTATCAGACTCAGTATATTTTCTCCAAACCTCTAGAGAAGTTAATGTAATTTAACCTTAAAATATATTTTGATCTCATTTTACTCTTTTTACACACCTTTATATTCTCTGAGAACATCATCATTGGTTATTACTATTTTGCTAACGTCAAAATTATAATTTGACATGTTACAATATTAAAAAGGGGAATTTTTTTTAAGATCCCTAGTAATAGTA